ATGTATCCGTGGAACAAACAAAATATATGTAACAATAGAATGAGTTTGAAATATTATTTGGTAATTAGTGAATAATGATAAAACTAATTAATGTTTTGACTTCAACATATGTTAAAACCGATTGAATTATTGGAACTTTTGAACTTCTTTGACCAAAATCTTTTTAATTATTTTTCAACTATAAATAAATATGCATTGAAATTTGAGAAAATCTAATAATTTGGAACAAAAAAAAAACCCTATAACATCTTATAATTTGGGAAGTATATTTTTTTTTCATAGGCTCTGATTGTATAGCATAGTTAGAGTAATAAAATTGGCTAAAACTTTTTGTACTCTCAGTTCAGCTGGAACTGAAAAAAATATAATAAAAAATAACTTCTTCCCATTTATGCTAAAAGTGACGAAAAATTGTTCTCCACTTATAAGTTATAAAAGATAAAACCCACCAAAAAAAAAACCCACCAAAAAAAAGTTATAAAAGATAAAACTTTTTCACTTTCCTCTAATTACTGTTTATATATCTTACCTCATTTTTACTCCATAATTTTTTAGCCAACATTTTACCATTCACACCCATATATAATTGACAAATAATGACTTGAACATAGCATAAAAATAATATAAGTGAAAACAACCCATTATTTTAAATAATTATGATGTGTATATTATAAAATTAGTATGATGTATATGTCGTCCATTTATCATATTTCAATATTCATTTACAAGGTATCATATTTTTTGTTTCTCTAAATAATTGTATTTTTGTAAAAATTTCATAATGAAATTTACCATTTACGATCTCGTCTCTTCTGCAATGCTACACAAGAAAATCAAAAAGAGAAGCTGCAATCTTTTGGGTTTTGGCTTTGGGAAGCAAATAAGGGTAAATGGATAACATTGATAAATATGGGCGAAATGAGAGAGAGAGTAAAGAAGTTGAAGGAGTCATTTGGAATAAGGCAAACACGTGTATAAACGGAAAAACAAGAAGAGAATTCGAGATGAAATTTGATCCGTCAGAATCAGATTATCTGACTCAGATGGATTTGGTGAGCTCTTCGCCGACCCCAACAAGAACAACGCGTTGTTTCCGATAGGATCTTCAGAAATGGCCTGCGTTCCAACTCTATGAAACTTTCGATAAAGATCACATGAGATCAAACTATAATGCTTTTCGAGATTAATCAACTTTTATTGTTTTTTTTGTTTTTTATCAACTTTTATTGGTATGGACCAAAATTCCACTTATTGTTGTGATTACAACGTGGCCATTCCTTCTTTTTTATATAAAAAATTTAACAATATTAATACTCAATTCGTTTTCAAAATATTTTAAATATTTTAATTGTTTTTTATTTTATCGTATAAGATATTTTAGAATTTCTATAAAAACTATAAATTTGTGGAGAATTCACATTCTATTTTAAATTTGTGGTTCTACAAAAAAATATGGGAGAAAAATTGTTGTCTAAGAAAATCGTGCGAGTACTAGAGACCTATCTTACGACCATTGCATAAGCATTCACAAAAAAGAATACAATAAAACAAGATATCTATAGGGAGGGTTGATTATCCAATCATTTACCTATAATCGATCTGTTTTGAGAAATAATGATGTATTTTCTTTGTCTTCTCTTTAGAGTTGGAAATTAAAGTTTTCTTGGTTTGCAGCTAATCTTGGAATGCCTTCTGTTGTCTTGTCTCTCTCAATCTCTCTCTTTTTCTTTGACGTATATTCATTTCAAAACTTTCAATAATTTGAGCGCTTTTTTTTTATATAATATCCTTGAGACTCCCGTGAATATCCTTGCATTCCAAGAATAGTTGCAATGTTTTTTAATATTTTCAAAACGTTTTTCTTATCGAAACGGCCAGATTTTTATGTAGTATGAGAAGTTTTTTCCATCGAAAAAATAACTTAAATTTCCGAGTGTTATATTTGGTCAAAAGTTATCTTAAAACTTCTGTACATTTAGTACAAAAATATACTCATGGCTTTTATCCAAAACAAATTTTATCTTTTATGATTAAACAAGTCTTTTAAGTTCTTCTTTATATCTTATAATTTCATATAGAGCTTCAAACGTTCTAAATCAAGAATTTGTTAGCAAAACAAAAAAAAAAGTTCTAAATCACGAAAGCAACTCTTACACCAGACGAGAAAAATTAGTAACAATTAACGCTTAAAAGTCTTGGAAAAAGTCCAATACGACGTAACGTATTACAGGGAAGACCTAAAGAAGACGACACGAAAGTATGACAAACCTACCAAAGAAAACGAAAAATTCATCTAAAAAGTCAACACGAAAAAGATTGACATCGAAGAATAATCCAAGATACGCGTTAATGATGTAATAAAAATCAACACTTTTCTTAATAAGCAGATCTAATTACAGTCTCTTTCAGATCATCTTTTTACAGTCTCTAAGCGGATTTTTATAAAGTGAAACAAGAAACGATAAAATTGCAAACATCAGAGTTAATTCTCTCGACACTAGCTCGAAACTTAGATAGATACATGCTTATATCGAAAACTTGATCTAAGAACATAAACAAATTGTAATCTAGACTTAGTAAGTCGGCCATCGAGAGTTGGAACAAATTGATCATATAAAATGAAATCTATGCAACACACTCGGTCCCCAAGTCCCAACCCAAAAAACTCCTCTATAAACCGCACTACTTTCCTTGACACTACACAAACTGTCTGCAAAATTTCCTCAGCACAATATTTATCAGACGAAGCAAGAGGAACACACATGGTATAAAGATACATTCATTATCTCGTACACCAAAAATATAAATTGTAGAACTCCTGATGTTTCAACATCAATTTGCTCCGGTGTTCGCGGGAGCATTGTCCAGTCGGCTGAATGAAAAACAAAGAAATAACACGAACCCAACCTGCAAATAGAACCAGGGAAGTTAGATATTCGTCATTCGTTTCAATGGATCTTTCTATTTATGGGCAAACCAGACCAAATCCGGACAACAATTCTTACTTTTAACCAAATCAACCAAAATTGTAATAGAATTTCATCATATTACATGAATATCAATAGCAACACAAAACCGAAAACCAACGGCAATTGCAACGACCAAACAATATTTATACCGAAACCGAATCAAACCAAAACCAATCTGGATTTTACTTGGTCAAGAATTTGTTAAACCGAATGCCCATGTACAGATGAAAACAGAATGCTCAAAGGCTAGATCCTAGTGTTACAATGTGTCTGATGGAATTTGAATACGGATTAGATTCAAGATTTTGTGTTGATATTTTGTACCTTTCACTTGAAGTCCTACGAAATTTGGATACAATTGCTGCGAGTGGACTACCTCGGGGCGAGGGTTGCAGATGCAGCAGCAGCTTCTGCTATGAGAGCAACTGGTTGACGAGCCTGAAGGCAAGCACAAATGTCAAAAGGGTGCAAATCTGAACCGTCATAGAGAAGATTCAGTCCTGGAAGAACCACTTCTCGGCTGTCTGCTTCATCAGCATCTGCCTTTGTTGTACTCAAAGGTGCATTCTCATCAATGCTCCTTGAGGCAGCCTCATAAACAGGGCTTAAAGCGTATGATCTGCAATCACCCTAAAACTCTTCAAAAACTTGAAAACATAATAAAACAAAAAAAAACATAAAACATAGAAGAGGCTAAACTGACCTAAGGATGCTACCATCGAAGCTCAGAACTTCAGTCCGGCAACGCTGGCGATTAGTTATTTTTAGCCGCTGAAACTCGCTTGTGGCTCCTGTTATTGGTGAGGAAGGTTCCACGAGTGGGTTCCACCTTCCGCTTGCATAGTTCATGAGCTTACTATGGGAAGGCTCCTTTGGTTGTTCTTTCTGGTAAAGAAGTTTAGCAGCTGGACCTGTTGCTTGGTACTGTGCACATATATCTTTCAACCTTTTCCTTATGCGTTGCATTGCTTCGTGTTGTTCCATGAGCGAATCTGCTTGAAGTAACTGTGATGAGACGATTCTTTTGCATATATGGTTGCATAACTTTGGACTGAAAAGTGGAAGCCCAAACTCCACCGTTAAAGGGACCCATTCATACTTTTCATCATGATCCGGAGAAAAGTAGTCCGATGAGTCCCTTGCTTTAAAGAGTCTCAAAAGGCGGATGTAACCTACTGTCCATAACTCCATGTTATTCGCCAGCTTAGTTAAGAGAGAGTTCAACTTTTTGTTTTCCTCAAGAGGAAGTCCAAGCTCGTCGCCGAAATGAGGAATGGAACCATCAGAGTTCTTCAGGGGTAATGGTATATCTAAAGTAACAATTCTTCCAGAGCTATCAAGGTCATGCTTGCTGAGAGGCTGAACGAGAATAGCTGAGCACTTGAGAAGGCAATTTAAACAATGTAGCAGTATATTTCCCATAACCAAGTTACCTTCAAACTTGTTTCCTAGACCACCAACCGAA